GCTTCACGTGACATCCGGAATACGACCATTTCGGGTGCCTGGCCTTGGTGCACTTTCTCTTTTGCGCCCCCGCGGCCTTCATTTGCCGCCCCGCGTTCGGGGCCCCCTCGTTTCAGAAATGGCCAAGTACTATACCAGCAAGGGTCGAGTGGGTTCTGCGTAATGGTAGGACAGTCCTAATTTCGGTTGGTGAGATCCTCGTGTCGTACGCGTCGACGGCACGTTGCTGATGCAACGTGTTTCGTCCGTCCATCCCACAGCAACAAAGCTATCGTACCGATTGTAATTTACACACACCAGTACTTATTGTTGGTGAGTTGATGATGTGCGGAGAGTCCAAATGCGTTTAAAGTAATCCGAATCTACCACCACGCCATGCTTTAATGTTGCTGCAAAGACGTATGATTGCCCATTATGACACGCGATCGGTAAAGCTACGAAACATTTCAATTAGCGCACCCCGACACTCCGTCGTTCACCCGTCGCGGGGTATCAAGCGAGTTCCGCGGGGTATGCCTCCGAATCCTTCTATGCTTTAGCTGGCATTGGACCCAAGTTCATACGCAGGGAGCTATAGTGAATATCACAAAAGAAAGATACCAAACCTTTGATGAGCGGCTTGTTTACACTGGATTGATGATAGTAGAAATTTGGCGTGTGAGCTAGGAACATTGGAACTTGTACTTTTAACGACCTATTTCATAATGTGATATATCATCTGGGAGATCTCAGAGTCCTCAAAAGGCGTGGCTGCCCCATTGGGAGGAGAGGTGTTGATGGAGTTTAAAAATCACGTTTTAGTCATGATTAGTCACACAATATGCTCTTGAGTCCCCTCCTACTCTTGAAGGTGGCTCGCACGGATACAAGGCCCTATCGAAGCGCACAACAGTCTTGATCGCCAGGTGGGGTTGCACAGGATACCAGTCACTGGGTAGTTAGTATGAATGAAACTATGTAACACGCATGGAATGGGTTCGGTTCGTCGGGTGCTATGGTGTTTAATGAATGGTGTATATGTTACATACGTACATAGTAAAAAAGAAGGCACTGATAGCATGGCTCTTGGCCTGTTGTGAGTTAATATATACATAGGGGAGGAAGCTGGCGGAAAGCATTCAGGAGCAGTGGTAGTTTAGTCAATGGAGCTAGCACGATTCCGTGGCTTGAACAGTGTGAGGGTTGCGTGTGACGAAAGCACGTGTGTGACGAAAGCACGTGTGTGACGTTCGGCTGCGCCGCATGAAGCCGGTGTGGTTTTGTTGCGTTTTTCGACAATCCCACTCCCTCCTCCACACAACCCACCTCATCGTCTCATCGATGACGGGCCTGCCCCTCGAAATTTGGGATTCCATCCTCGAGCTCGTCTCAGAGGAGCAGGACGACAGCTCGTTGTGGAAAGACGCCATGTCGCACCACATTGGGAAGACCACACTCTTTAACACGTCCCTCGTCTGCCGCTCCTGGCGTGCCACCGCACTCAAGCTCATTTGGCGGCACATCATCTTCTATTCGGACGGAGCGGAGCTCGATGTCTATTGGCGTCTTGCGGAATCGTTGGAAGAGGAAATACCGAGCTCCGGAGACATGCGCACTAAGTTTGTCAGGAACGTCGGCATTTTCGTCGACATCAACGCTCCATGGGAAGCCCACGAGAAGCTCGGCATGTCCATGTTGAAGATCCTCGAAATGACAAAGCACAACCAGGGCCTGCAGTTTAACATTACCTTTGACGGGATCCACGATCTGGAAACGCCGCACCGTCCATATCTCCCTCTCGAAATCTTTCCGGCCTTGACGTCGAATATCCTGGGCCTGGCAATCTTTCGTCCACACCTTTCTCCCGTAAACTCTACCCAGATCTTGCGGAATCTACCCCCTTCACTTGACCGCCTTGTCCTTCACAATCCGGTGGACGAGGAAAATCAACCTCTCCATCCCGCTCTTTCATCCACCTGCCTCCTCACTCTCCCTCAACTCCGCTTCCTCCAGCTGGCCGGCCTCAAAGACGTCTGTCCAGAACATTTTCAACAAGGTCTATCCTACTGGGGCCAAAAGCTCCAAGAACTCGTCATCGAATCCTGCAGCTCCCTTCTGCAAGACAGCGTGATTCGCGCCATCGCCGACTCATGCCCCTCCCTCGATCTCCTATACCTCTGGGACTCGCCAAATGCAACGACGAGCGACCGCTCCCAAAACATTACCACCAACTCCCTCTGCTACCTCGTCTCCGCCCTGCCGGTCCTGAAACACCTGCACTTCGATGCCATCCCCGCCGCCTCGGACCGCTTCCTCACCCACTGCGCAGCAGGGGCGCATAGCAAGTTGCGTACACTCGTCATTCACAATGCGAACCCCGATCTCGCCGGCACCGGCATCCGAGACCTGAGCGGGTGGGAAGAACTCGAGAAGTTAACCGTGACCTATCACAATTGGCAGGAGATTTTGAAGAGGAGGGCGGAGCGGGGTGAGGGTGAAGGCATAGAGGAGAAGCCGTATGGCGGGTTCGAGGAGCTCGTGGGGATTGTTTGGTATGGGTGTCCTAAATTAAGAAGGCTTCAAATTGGAGAGGTGCTCGTCGTCCCGGGATCGAAAATGGATGGGTAAAGTGACTGAAAGTGAGGTTGGATATGATAAATGTTACATTCGCAGGCTTGTTATTAAGACATCTATGTCTATGGACGCGCATGGAGTGGTGTTTTATCCGAAAGCTTCTCGTTGAAAATTCCCACGTACTTCGATCCATTCTCCCTACAACGCCGCATCAACATCCGAGTCACACCTCTACTATGCAAACTAAGTTGCAATCAACAGGCTTGAGATATAATTTTTGGTTCAGTACATTCAGATTTTCGGGTTGTACATCCAATAATGGGGATATCGAAATATCTTTCTGGCGTGTGCGTAGATTTTGTTTGTCCTTAAGCTTTCATAGTAACCATTATTTTGAAAATGTGTATACCTTGAACGCGTGAATTTTATCTGCTATGAACTTGAATCTTAAGAATTACTGAAACGACTTAATTAAACACCTTATGCTTATTCATTTGAGGGGTTTAATTAAGGACTATAATTAAGTATATAGAGAGTTTTATCATTACTAACCCCATTTCTATGACTGTTTATTCCAGCTACAATTTATTAAAGCAATATCTTACTATTCACTTGCTCTATAAATATTTAAAATAATGGTATTAATATTATCTCTTAGTATATTATACAGAAATATTTATCTGTAAAAATAGAATTATATATATTTTTGAATTTTATTGTATTTTTAAGTGAAATTTAATATATTATTAGTTTGTAAGTGTAATAATAATGTCTTTCTTATACTGAAAATTTTATTGCTAGAAGAGTTAATATTAAAAAAAAAAAAACATAGTTATAGTTTATCAAAATTTAGGGAGTGATCGATAAATATAATATGATTTCGAGGGCGCCATCGAAGGTCCCGAAACTGGTGGTGCTGGTCCGTCCAGAACTGAAAGTCAAAAGACAGCCGTACGTCGTGGCCGGTGGTCGCAACAATGCCGTTCCCGAACGGCAAGGAGCAGACGTGAGAAACTCGGGCGTCGGCTTGAAGTGAAGGTGGGTGTGGCTAGATACAGGTCCAACTACGCCCTGGTCAGGCATACAGGAAAAGGTTGATTCCTCGGATTGGATATCCCTTCCGCGAACGTAAACTATGTCTTTAACATCTCCCGTTCTACTGGAAGACTACTCCGAACGGTGATCTCATTGTGTTCAACCTGGCTTTTGGCACTGTGCTCCTCCCTCGTTTTTCTCTCTCAACATTGCAGTTAACATTATATTCAGGCTTTTTCGTAAAATGCTGATACGCTTTGAGGAGAGTTCAACCCTGATTTTTTTTTTTTTTTTTTCAGAATTTCTAAAACTGGTACCACATTACCCTACTCATCCATCAATGGTGTGGTGAGGGGGTCATTGCATATGCCTCACAGCTCTACGATATCAGATTTCATATCTAGCCAAATGAACGGCCTGTTGGTGGGCAAGTGCGTTACGTTCAATCATCTTCATTGCCCCCTTCGCAATCCGAGCTCATCGCTCCGTATATTTCTTATTCACCAAAGTTCCTTACGAATCACCATCATGGACACGCAGTTCGTCATTGTCACCAACAGTAGTGAAATGTACGTACTTAAGACCTCCGGACGCACCGACCCAACGTCATTCCCGGCGGCGGGTATCATTGCCAACGACATCGACTGTTAATTCGTCAACACTTTTGGGACGTGCCAAACTGGGCTATTCCGGCGATTGGGTGTGGCAAGTCGCTAGGGTCGTCTTGAAGCCACACACATATACGCTCCGATCTCCAAATTCGCCTGCTTCGTGACACCGAAACGGCCGCGACACCTCCCAACTTGGACCAATTCGGATATCTAAGAAGCTATCGGTGAGAAGAGGAAATTGAACGACGAACTGACGAGGCCGAACCACGGCTTCATCCGCACGTAGCGATTTACGCAAATCGTGTTGGGTGGGGTGAGGGTAATTGTTTAACGCCAAATTATGTTGACGGATGCAAGATACTGTCGATGAGTAGCTGAGTACCATTTCGAATTTCCGACGTGGGAAAATAGTGAGGAGAATGTGGGGGGGTTCACAAGGCTCGGTATTGTACTCATTGCAATGTTTCAAATTTTCAGGGTACTATCACCTGTGCAGTATTTAGTTTCTCCGTACTTCCGTCGACAACTTGACAGAAGTGCGTTAAAGGCTCGGCGAGAAGTTGGCCTTTTGGAATGCTCGAGCCTCAGTTGTTACCGCACACGCCAATCTGATCTAACGTTGCGTCGCGTCTTCATTTTGCAAAATTCTATTGGAAATCAGCCTCTGGGACCGGTGGTCGTGATATTCCGAAAGGGTTTTTTGCGCCTGCTCTGCTGTTTCGTTTCGTAACCTTTGCAATAAGAAAGTTGCTCTGATCTTATTTTAGGTTATATAAACTACTTTGAAATACTACAAAAAATGACAACTTGTCCGAGTGGTCCAAGGAGCCAGACTTGAAATCTGGTAGGCTCTGCCTGCGCAGGTTCAAACCCTGCAGTTGTCGATTCAATTTTTTATTTTTTCCATTAGTTTTGGATTATCTGTAATACCTCATTGAACCTAACTAAACAATAATAAAACGACTCCCAAAAATTGAAGTTTATTCTGCACATTACGGATAATGCAGACAAAAAATCTAGAAATTTCGTTGGTGGAAATGGGTAAAATCTACATCCAACACTCACACATCATTATGCGACCTCTTCTTCTTTTTTGCCACTCGAATCTCCCCCAAATCACCTTCCACGTGCTTCACTTTCTTGCGCCCCGTCTCCGCCACTGCTTCACCTTCGCCGTCGATGTTCTGGTCCTCGTCTGGCCGCGTAGGCAGATAGAAAATGTCGTCCGGGCCGTCCGTGTCCGAGTCATTGAACGGGTTGATGTTGTCAGTCGTGACCACGTCAACGATGATGTCCTCGTCGTCTTGCTTGCGCTTGCTGACCTCTTCCTCAGGGACCTGGACGAAATATGGGCGGAAATTCAGGTTGGGTTCGCCACACTTACTAAGTGTCGACTCTTCGGAATTCAACATTGTGATGAATGTCAATGGGAACGTACCACATCAAACTCATCCTCACGCTCTTCGTATTCCAAATTTTCCTCGAGCTCCTTGAAATCTGGCGCGAAGGCGCTCCAATTCTCCTCGTGGTTCGTCGCCCAGATATGAACATTGCCGTAGCTACTCACCGAGGCAATAATGGGGCGAATCGGATGCCACTGGTTTGTAGACAATGATCAAAAGTTAGTATCGGAACGAACATTCATGGCACGTATGCAGAAACCATGGTGGCCGATCGATCCCTCCATCAACATGTCACACAGATGGTTTTCGAATTTTGGTTTCTATCTTACCACCAAGTCATCCAGCGGCTCCTTGGGGCCCTCTAGAATTTTCACAAGGTTTCCCATGTTCTTATCCCATATGTAGATATTATGTTCCGCCTTGTGTGCCGAACCTGTCGTTTTATGGAAAACGTACAAATGTTAGTATATGCTCACATGGCAATATTGTAGAAACATATATTGTATGACTTGGATAACAATGACGGCAATATCACCATTCTTCTCCCGTTACCTCCGCATAAACCAGCATCATGCCCGAACGAACCACAACTCACCACCGATAACAAAGTCACCATCGGCGCTGAAACACGTCTGATTCCACTGAACACGATTGACGAGGTCCTGAAACTTATGCTGCACCTCTGGCAGGCCGTCCTCGTCTCGAAGATGCAGCACTCGGATGATCCGGTCGTTGGCGTTGACGACGAAGTCTCTGTGTGTCGGATAGCAGACGAGAACAGTGATCAATGCTGGCCTTCTGGTACACGACCCAACTGCCTATTAGCGGATTCACAAACTGGCGTGCTTGTTTAACGACATAGCTTCTCGGGACTTACTTGCCCTTGCGACTGAAATGGATCTGTTTGATTTGTGTGTTGGTAATCCGCATGGTGTGTATGATCTACATGGAGTTGTTGATAGAAATGAAATCAGAAACAGGCAGCAAAAGAGAATATTCGCCCACGGAAATTTTTATCTCCACCACTACCTTGCGCGTCTTAACATCGATGATATTCAAGAATCCTTTTGTCGTCCCCGCGTAGATATGCTCACCCCGTCGATCGAAGCAGACCACAACGGTTACATTGTTACTACTATTCGTGTCCGATAGGAATTGAAACATCACACATAGCAAGGTAATAAATATCGAGCTTCCTCACATCTAGAACTTATTAAAAAAAAAAAAAAAAAAAAAAAAAAAAACAGATTTTGAGAGCAAACCTCGATCAACATACCCACTCCACACACCGCCGCCCCCGGAACCATTAGCCGCAAATTCCTTCTCCTTGTCGGATGTGTTTCCTCCCGTATCTGCCGTCTCGCCCATCTCGGTCGGAAGCTCATATCGTTTGATGGTCCCTTCGGCCATATTGACGAGGACAGGGGGTTCTTGGTAAAGGGCCGCGACAAATATAGAACTGCACCAGAGAAAGACGATCAAAATAAACTTGAGTAAGTCGTTTCCAATATAACGACAGTAACGGTGGAATCCGTAATCCAATTATTCAACGACAATAGTCTTATAAAATAATTTCCTCACTTATTTCGAGGATGCATCTGAGCCATCAATACTGGCGTAGAAAATCGTATTGTTTCTTGCTTCATGCCAGAGAGCAGATCCCAAAAGATACAATTCCAGTCGCGGGACGCGGAGAGAAGAAATCGCCCGTTGCGTGACCAGCTGGAGGACGGGAGCGACAGCAAGTTTAGAAATGTCGGTGAACATGGGTTGATGACAAACTGCTGCATGGCCTACCTCACCGTCGTCACTTGCTTGACGTGCCCATGCAAGTTGCGGGCGACTCCGCGTGTGTCAAAGTCCCAAACGACGACACGCCCATCTTGGCACCCCGCGGCAAGTAGAGTTCCCTTGCGGTTGAATTTGCAGGTCAAGACGTAACCATCCTCCAGGGTTTCTTCAATAATCTGGGGGTACTCTTGCTCCCATGGGTCTGTAGATGTAGTGGAGAAACAAAAAAAAAAAAATAAGCACAGGTACCATAAAAAGTAGAGTTAAGTAAATTCTGATGCCTGTACCAAGTAGTTCTAGGTTCATTCTGTCACGGACTGGGAAAGAAGAACGTCGCGTGCGAGCCAAGCCACCGCATCGCATTTAGGCGTGAATACAGGGACTGGCAATAATCCATGTAATCCAAGTATGTATATACAGAAACCCTCAACATTTATTATACAATATGGATAGCCTCTAGACCTCGCCTTCAACGTATCGTGCCAAACAGGGGCAAGAGAACAGGAAGAACAAACATGCTAGACATGCAAAAAAGGAGTGATGATAAAAAGACATGCAGAGTGTAGGTATCGGGGTAGCAAAGGTCCGTTATTAGCGTGGCGCACCAAGCGTGGTGCCAGGTCCAGCTGCCGACAGCGCGAGGACCTCGGGCGAAAGCTCGACGGTGATGGACTTCGTGGACTTTACTTCGGATATGGCAAAAGCGTCTATAGGTAGGTTATAGGCAATCAGGCATAAGGGCGTTGTCGAACTTGTGGAACAGTCAACGATTATTTTCGTGTGTGCGATTACAAAAATGTAAAGGCTCCGACCGACCTTTCATCTCCTCTTCGGGCACATACTTCCCCGTGGCCGCCAGCCTCCGCAGCGCCTGGTATTTGCAATTCAATCAGTTTCCAGAGCACGATTTCAAGCGAAACAGTGCGGACTCAAGATACTTACATGCTTCATACCCACTGTAATTTGTTGTTGCTTCTTCTTCGACAATGGCTTTTCGATGATGACGGGATTTATTGTCTTCATACGCCTCGCCTTGAACGCCCGCTTTTGCACTCGCTTCTCCTTGGTGAGATTCTTGTTCGGCCCTAAAATAGAGTGGAACGAGGAATTCAGCCAAGGGTGTGGTGGCAAAAGAGTGCGCGACACAGGTTAGGCGTCCAAGATCTCAACCGACGATGGCTTGTTCAAGATACCTTTGAAGGGTGCATTACGGGTTCCCATGTCGATTGAACGGGTGTGAATGGTGTGTTCTTCGACGCTGCCAGAAAAAAAGAATAAACCCCGCCACTGCACGTGACTCACGCAAAGATTCATTGGCCAGATGAAATTTTTCAAAAAGGTACCAATCCAGATGTACTTTTTAATAAACTTCGCCTCATATTTCCAACCTGATGAATTTTCGCCATGTTTACCATCTTTGCCCAGAACCAACCATGCCTTCCTTTCCCACCCGCCGCTCAGGTCTGCAGCAAGAGGTCGTCAACTTCTATCGCGAATGCTTCCGCGCCGCGCGAGTGAAGCCTGCGGTAATTGTAGTGGTCCCAATCAACGATATTTCTCCGGGAATCCCTTACTTTTGAAAATAATTCTTACCGGCACCGAATGATCACTTCACACCAGCAAAATCGCCCACACTTCTACTCCTTCATCCGTAGCCAGTTCCGCGAACACGATCTGAAAAAGCATGATTTTGCCACAATCGAGTACCTCTTGCGACGCGGGAAGCGGCAGCTCGAGACCTACCGCGAACGGAGCATCGATGACATTCACATGTGATTGGTGTCGATTCAGGGACCTTTTCTTCGCAGTTCACTTTCAACACTGCGGCGTGAAAGAACTAGCCCGTCGCCATCTTTTGCTCCAATGGCTTTGATGTAGCGCTCTAACATTCACGATCAATGTTCATCTCTCTTCCGTACAGACATGCATACATTCACAAAGCAAGATCTGGATACCAAGTTTTCGTTATAACGACAAGGGTATCCGCAATCTTGTATAATACAATTAGATAACAATTCGAACCATCTTTGTACAGCAATCAATAAATCAAAATCGAAAACGAGCAACCGAACGAAGAACGGGAATATATACTTAAAGAGAAGAAATGACGACAACAACGAGAAAGTGTCTTCCGTCATCCTTCCCATGCACTTACCGCCTTCTTCCCCATCCACCGCCATACCTCCAATCAGAATCCCAGCCACTACTTCCGTTCCCGCTCCCGCTCCCCCAATCACTCGAAGCCCCACTCAACACGCTTGTCCTGTCCCAATCGACTTTCGCGGACGCGGCCGGCCCTGCACTCGCACTTCTACTGAGACTCAACCCATCGACAACCCCACCCGCCGCACTCGTCCCCACACCGAGCCCTCGCCCTGTCGTCACCAGCCTCTGCCTCACGAGCTCGGCCTCTTGCTCGCGGTGGTACACATCATGTAATTGGTAGTCCAGTCGTTCACGTAACCTGGCGAGCTCGTCTTTCGTGGCTGTCTTTTGTTCGCGTTGCAGTTGTGTGAGGAGCTGAGAGGACGAATGGAAAGGAAGGACGAAAGACGAGGATCTTCAGTTTCGTGTTGAAAAGCGAGCAAAAGCATGGCCTCTAGTCTCCCATGTGGCTAATAAATCGCGGTCCACCCGCAGTCACCAACAAAACTATGTCAATGACATTATAAATTCACACGGACCATATT